AAAAGTAAATCATAAACAAATTTATAGCAATTTTCCAGGCAAATTTGTCTGGAATTGTCTACAGTTTAAGGGATAAGTACATTTTATAATAAATATTAAAAAATACTGTATATTGTAGTAATATTACATATATACATACATACATATATATATATACGTATATTATGTATTCAAATTTTAAAATTAAATTCATTGTATCGATCTAGCTTTTAAAAAATTTAGCTATAAATCCGATAATACTGTTAATTTTAGAAGTTTAGCATACTGTACTTATATAGACTGTATATTTATATAGTATTACAATTAATTAATTTATTATTAAACATTATATATTAAACCATTATATGAGTGTGAGAGTGAAAACCTGGAGCTGCATATAATGATTTACTATGATAAGTTCCAGGTTTTCACTCTCACACACTCATATATTAAACAATAATAATATATATATAGTATATACGTATATGCTGTAGATATATAAAAGTATTCTATTATTTCTACCGATATGCTTTACTAATTTATTTTGTATTATTATAAACTTGATGACAATAATGACAACCCTCACTTATAGTAAATAATAAATAGAGCGCAGCCATTGTTTATAATGTAAATGCCGTTCGTATACACATTTACACACTTTTTAATACAGTAATATTAATTAAAATCAGATGTTAATAACCCTTATCAATGCGTATTAGACAGAGCCCTTGGTTCGAAGTTCTATTTTTTAACATTCGATGTTCAGAATTTCCGGTTGAGATTACAAATAAGGGTCACACACATCAGCACGTTATTGTATTATCTTTTAGTCCGAGTGAAAAATGTATATTTTTTGAAAAATTAGTGGCGGCTTGAACTTACTTTTAAACAACTATTTCTGGTTATTGTTCCAGAATTGGCATAAGTTGTAGGTGCTTCTATAACGTTAAGTTTCACTAATTTTGTATATGATTTTCTGTCTTGTGATGAATGTGATGACCAACATTTTTATTTCCGTCTATATTGTCCAAATAAATAATTTGTATAATAAAAGCTTTTTGAGTATGACCATACTAGGAAATTTTATGCTCTTTTTTACTCAATACATGTCCGCCAAATATTATAATTTCTAATATTAATCAAAATTTTTTTTCCACACTTATTTATTATTCTTATCTTTCTACTTTTTTTTATAAAAAAAAAAAAAAAAAATTATATATATATATTTTTACTTTTCTGTCGTTTACGACTACTTTAGAAAAGAAAAAACATTCAATTATGAGCAATGGCAACTCCAACGATGCACGCCTAGAGCAAAAATTCGGTAAGTATCTCTATCCTTTCCTCATAGATTGCAAATCATAAAGTCACTTGTAAACACACCGTAGTTTCTTTAGAAATACAACATTAAAACTGACTTATTATGTATTTGATTCTTTTTTTACTCTGATCTCTTAATTTGCTTGTCCTTAAATATGTCCATCGTTCAAATCTTATGGGATTTTCGTAATCTAATTTTTTCACCATTTCAAAATGCAGCGCAACTAGGCATCAATCAAAGTTCGGGGAAACCTACCGCTGGTCGTTATGTTCCTCCCCATTTGAGAGGTCAACCTAACAGAAATATTAATAGTGAAAACTCATCTCAACCTCAATCTCAACCTCAATCTCAACCTCAACCTCAACCTCAACCTCAACCCCAACCCCAACCTCAACAACAACAATTACAGCCCCCAAGAA